CACCACCACCAGCAGCAGCAGATGCTGCTGCAGCTACCAGCTGCATGCTGCTGCTGCTCTGCTGCTGCTGCTGCTGCTGCTGCTAACTGCTGCTGCTGCTGCTAGGCTCGCCTTTTGTATTTCGTGCTGCGCATGCATTCTCGCAGGGTTTCCTCCTTCAGCCACTATATTTTTAATTTATTTATTTATTTATTTATTTATTTATTTTTTATTATTTATTATTTCTGATTTACTTCTGCATGCTTGTTGCCTGCGTTTGTCTTGCTGCTGTATAATATGAAGGGTAGAGAGGCCACCCATCTCAGCGTCGCTGCTGCTGCTGCTGCTGCTGCTGCAGTGCTGCAGCAGCAGCAGTTATAAATGTTTAATTAAGACGGAGAGGGAATATGCGGTGACTCTTTTTCTTTTTCTTTTTCCTTCTATGCTGACGTTTCTTTCTCCTTTTTCTTTATCTCCTCTCTATCTTCTCTCTCCCTAACCTACGGCCCTCGGGGGGGTCTCAAGCTCCTCAACAGGCGGTAGCTGCAGCTCACCACAGCTGCAGCAGCAGCAGCAGCAGCAGCAGGAGTAACAGTGTTAGAAGCAACAGCAGCAGCAGCATCAGGGGTACCAGTGGCAGCAGCAGCAGGAGACGCTGCCGCTCACCATGGCAGCGGACAGCTCCCTGCTGCAGCTGGAGGAAGTGATTGAAGATGATGCTGCAGGGGTTGTTACCTCTGCGTCGTCCAGCAGCAGCAGCGACAGCAGCAGCAGCAGCAGTAGCAGCAGCAGCAGCAGCAGCGGCCCCTCAGCTGTACTCAATGAGGCAGCATCGCGATCGGCGGCGATTGCAGCAGCAGCGCAGGCTGCAGCTCTCTCAGAGCGCTGTCGCTCTCTGTTGCCGCTGCTGAAAACTGCAGTAGAGAGCACCAGCAGCAGCAGCAGCAGCAACAGCAGCAGCAGCAGCAGCAGCAGCAGCACCAAGGAGTGCAGCAGCACAGGCAGCAAGAGCGAAGGAAGCAGGCCTGGGGGTACTCTGTTAGAGTTTGACTCGGATGAAGAGGGCCCCGTAGTGGAGCTGGGTAAGCAGCAGCACCTATGCTGTCTGCAGTGCTTGTGCTTGCTGCTGCTGCTTCTCTATCTGCTGCTGCTGCTGCTTCTCTATCTGTTGCTGCTGCTGCTGCTGCTAGTCCTGCAGCTCGTGCTGCTACTCCTGCATTTGTTGTTTCTGCTGCAGCTGAATGTGCTGTTACTGCTGCTTCTGTGTCTCTTCTTTTTGCTGCTGTCGTTTCTCCCTAGCTGTAGCACCAAGAGCTTTGTCCCCTCCGAGGCGCCGTTGCTGCTGCCACAGCTGCTGATCCTGCTGCTGCTGCTGCTGCTGCTGCTGCTGCTGCTGCTGCTGCTGCTG